GAAATCAATTTCAAGATAAACGCAAAAAACGTCAAGGTCAATGAATCTCAAACTAGGCCTAAAAACTTTGAAAATATGGAGTTATAATTATTGAAACATGTCTGCCTAGCGACCAGCTACTAAATAATGCCTTTTAATGTCGGGGCTAAATGTTATACGCGTTAAAAACAGGATGAACTATGTTTTGAAATCTCAGAACGGCCCTACCGTGTGTCAACCGACGTGATGACTTCCCGCGAAAGTGACGTAGTGATTTGCATATTACTAATATGGATGTGGAGGCGGAGTTATTCCAAATAAAGAAAATGGTTTAAGCCGTGTGCACAAGGATATTTTCAAGTTTGTTTTGATTACTGTTCACTTAAAACTGATAGCCAGTGGCACGTAGTAGCAAGCGTGCGAACACTGTTTCTTTTTTAGTAACCGTTGTGCGAACAAGAGCAATGACTTCGCCTTTTTTCGCTCGTTTTTGTGACCGCTTGTTGAATTCAACTGGACAATTTCCGCTTTATTTTCGATCGCGAAAACCCCGAAATATCACCGCCCGCTCGCTCGCAGAAAATTTCCGAGGTTCACATGGTCTTATAATTGTCTTACTGGTTTTTATAAATGTTGAACAGCCGACACAAATTCAAATACTTTTCGTTTTACAGCTGTAACTACCTATAATTATATGCACGCAATCTGATCCTTTGACTTCGATTTGGCTTGGATTGAATATTTTATTTTAGACAATATTCTGACGTGAAATACAAAATGTATTTCAACACAAGTACGACATGGTTGTCTGGGTTTTCTCGCCTGATTATTGAGTCTTCGCAATGTGTTTACGGTTTGTATAATTATTGTTGTTTTCCTCAAGGCGAAGACAAGCTGACGGACCATGAAGCTAAATGGCAGTTCCATGCATGGGCTGTGTGAAAGGAAATATTTAATCTAAGCCTAAAATAAAACCTAATATTACACTTCTTTGTGTATTTGTTAATTTTACATGTTTGTCATGACAGTACATCTAGAAAATCTCTTTCGTTGATAATTTCCATTGTTTGGAATGTCTGTCGACCGTGCCCCAATATTTGTTCCATACTGAGTTTAGGACGGGCGTCTGTCCCGACGTCCGGCATTCATCACAAGCAGCCGAGACAAAACATTGACCGTAATTCATGGGGATCATGTCCCATAATTTGTGGGCTGAAAACCAAATAAATAAACAAGTATTATTATATATATTTCATTTTACATCGCGAAACTACAACAGAGCTTGGTTGTTCGCGGTGAAACAGCCGCCTTGAAGTCGATACAACTTCAACTAGCCATTTCTTACCTTGAAATCAAAAAAATAAAGATTCCAAGAGCATCAGGGAATATATTAATAACCATTTTTAGCAATCGCTAGATTTATTTTATCCGAATACATGAAATGCACGAGATTTTCGGCATTTATTGGCAACTTCCGCGCTGAAAATGGTTAAAAATGTGGGTGTGGTTCTCTCGCAAAATCCTGTTGATAATACGGACAAATATGGTTCTGTGACCCAGGTCGTGCTCCGATCAGGTGACTTTCAGCAAATCAATGATGTTGTAACAAAGCATATTTGACGCTAATTGAAGGGTCGTCGTACCATCCAATCTCCGGCTTCGATTCACATAGATTTTTTTTTGTTCTGTGACAGGCTTCAAAATTATTCACTGAAAAACATCGGTATATTTTGACTAACTGAGGGGATTTGACCTCAGTTCAGAAAGAAGAAAAACTAAGCTGAGTCCACGGTGAATCAGTTTTCTTTGCTAGTCGTGAAATAAGGTAACCCAGAGTAGGATCGATGATTTTCAGCCCTGAAGGACTTCCGCGTGAATCCTGATTTTCGAATTGTTCATCCTCTAGCCACCAAATATTTATGGCTATAACTAAATTTGACACATTTTTTCCCAAATTATTCATTTATGTCAAGCTCTGTTCTATTTTTTCAGAGCATGTGGCCGTCTTAGTCAAAATATTTTTTGTGGGAACACTTTTACGGTACACGTATAGATCGAGCTCATTCACTGATCGTGATTTAATTTTGAAAATTTGTAAAATTATACCAGACCGACCGCTGTGGACAGACGTGGTTTTGGTATCGTTATTTTTGGAATTAATCATTAACATTTTCCTCGTTTCTCTGCTCTGTCGAAAGAAGTTACCTTTGCCCTTTTCACGTAACTGTCTCATTAAAATAAAATATTACATTTAGAACAAGCATCGAAAACACGTAACAAGAGGTCCCAGTTAAGTTGCTTTGACCATGGACGTACTAGTACGTACTAGTACGTCCATGCAATGACGATTGAGTGTCATGCAACTATTAGATTTGAAAAACCACCATTTCGACTACTCATGTGTGATCAGTGTTTTGGCGAGCAGTTAATGATTTCAATGAGCGAGCGAAAAAAAAAAAAAAAAAAAAAAAAAAAAGAGCCATTAAAATGCTGTTGGTCTCCAGTCGGACAAGACCGCGCGGTCGAAAATCAAGCAATAAGCTGTGGGTGTAAAAGCGGAAGTCTGGGCGAAATTAGTACCGTAATTACATAAACTTTGTAGTATTGATATGCAAATCGGATTTTTCATCAAGTGTCAATTAGAATTACTTTCATGCGAGGGGCTAATCTGCACTGGCTCGGAAGGTTGTAAATGATTAGCTAGTTTGAATTTGCATAACAATACTGACAATGAACGTGCATTCAACGCCACAAGTTTTTTTGTTTTTTTAGCCAATCAGAATTCATCTTCCGAGCCAGTGCAGATCAGCCGCATGCGAGTGTTGCACTTATGTTGGTGGTGTTTATAAACAATCACACGTGGCAATGTTTTGAAATACAAAAAACGTCGAAATATGCCTTATAAAATGGAGTTTTTGTTTAGACTAAAAGCACAGTCATAGATACTGTGTCATAACCATCAATAATTTAAAATAAACAAAAATATTCAAAAAAAAACACATTAAACGTATGCTAACCCCTTAATTTAAATGTAGGCGTCATTTTTCGATCATTTCAATCATTCCTGACGCCTATTCAGGAGTGTGATGTTTATTGTGGCTAAGCCTGAATGGGTTTAGGTTCTTCTTCAATGCTCAGGTTATCTTTCGAAAACAACTAATTTTTTGATAAAAAAAAAAAATCATGCGGATTTCATATCAAAATCAAAGCCAAACGATCGCACAACAACATTGGTAAATCTCTTCCTTGTTGCGTTCAGTGAAGACGTTGAACTGTCATTAAAATATATATATGAGCTATGGTAATTCGAACATGTTTGCACCTATCAGATCAAGAACAGTTTCAGGTCACTCATGTGCATGGATAACATGGCGAATATCGTGCAAGATCGAGCATTTACATGTTGCCGAAATCATTCGCTTGCAGTGAAACTAAGTTGAATTTTACATGCATTTCATAACAATTCAATGAATTTATTTTGCGTACGTTAATATAATCACTACTGAGTAATATTCAACGACTGAAACGCAGCATGACTGGATTGCACAACTGTGATAATTTGCTACTTTTGAAGCAATGCATTCGCGTTTGTTTTTATTTGAAACTTCTTTTAGAATATATACTTTTCGTTACCAACAAAAAGAAACAATAAATGCGTATTATTTTGTTATGTGAGCAGTTTATTTGATGGAATAATTTTTCAACATGTCGTGACGCCTATTTTAGAACCAAATGAAGGCCTTTGACACTTTCGCGAGGTTCAAATTAGAGTGACACCTATTCAAGAGATTATACGGTATCATAACCTGCAAATGTGTACAAATCTATTGGTAGATATTTATTGTGCAGTATGCTGTACAGTAGTTATTGTGTGTTTGTCTGTGGTGAAAATCCAAAAGTGCACTTAGAATTGCAACAAAATTTCTTTTACGTTGCAATCTTATATTGTGCATCTCATTAGCATATTGTTACCCTTCAGGCCATTGTTTTTTCTGAAAATATTTTCCCACCGTTACTGAAGTGAGTGCTCTAATCATGGAAGGTACTAACAGAAGGAGCCACGACGCTATTGTTTTAGCTTTACCCCATGATTGTTTGTCAATGTTTGTTCACAAACATTGCTCTTGTTAGCTTTTAGCACCTTCGTACAATGGATTATGCTTATCTCGAGCATTTGGTAATATTCGGAGCATGTTCGAAAGCGATAGTCGAACCCTGCATGTACAATATTGAAAATGGCGTCTAGTTTGAATGCTGTTGTTTCCGGAGATCTTGGCGAACTTTAATGGAAAATTGTCAGATATAACATTGATTGAAAAAGAACTAATGAAATATCGTGAATTTTGTATTTGTAATGGTAATGAGACTCGATCAATGATTGCTTGTGACGATTGCATTATTCAATGATACCATTGTCAGTGCGTGGGTTTGGCGCCCGAAACTATCGAAATTTTTGACCACCGGCGAACACCAACAGAAAAGATAGTATCGAAAGCAGAGTATGCCTAGACACTTTCTCTGTGATAATATTTTTTAGGAGTCCTTAGGAATTGTTGTTGTATGCACTCGGAATCTTGTTATAGTTACAGTTGCTAATAATTAAAACATGTGAAATTTGTGAAGTCAAACGTTCATCTGTTGAATTTCAGTTTGCGAAATACGTATTTTGACCTTTCACACCTAAACAAACCCAGTGCGCATGTGTGATGACCGTAGTTTCATAATGCGCATATATTTTATGGTCACATTAAAAATCGGCGAGGTTATATCATACTCCGCTAACTCGTTACTTGTGTAAACAATCGCAAACTATCATTGACATCAAAGATGAGCTAGACAATGTCCTTATCAGGATTAATTTGGGTTGAAACAAAAGGAAATAAGCCAGTAATAAGGCTTAAGTGGCCACTTGATCGGCGTCGTGGCTCCTTCCGTTAGTACCTTCCATGCTCTAATTAAAGTCACCCATTAAAAAATTGAATTTTAATTAAAACCACTGCCTCATTTAGAATTTTTACAGTACTTTTACACTTTCACATCTCGTGCAACATAGCAAATCTCCTTTGAAATTGGGCATCCCAGACATGTGCAACACTACATAAACATATTTTAGGTATGCCTACTGCAATATATACCGGCCCTTACAGACACGCCCAAAAGTCGGCCCCAGAAAGATTCGAAAGCTAACTGGCTAGTCAAAAACCAAGCAGTCAGCGAATTTGCAATTGGCTGCCCCAATACTTCCGAGACTTGCTGTAATTCTGCCAAACATTTAGTCCGGACACTTCAGGCAAGGGCGACACTCAATCATGTGAACATAGACATAGTAGTGATGTATAATGGAGATACTAAATAAGGCAGCTCAATCAGTAAAGAATACATACCTTTCTTTCCTGAGAGCCTGCCTGATTTTCTTTGTTAATAGTTAGTTTTTTTACCTAATAAATATGAAAGACAAAGTGAATGATGGTGTAAATATTGCACTGTCTTCTCCCTTATACAGTGGAGCTAATAATGCAAAGGTGATGATATATTGTGAGTTTAAAGAGAATAAGATCGTAACTTTAGCATAGTAGTTAACAAATTGTGCAAAAATGTGATGTTGACAGATAGAAAGAGCAGATTACAGTTCTATGAATATATCTTGCTTAAACAAGGATAGGAGCCATTTTGTTAGCAAGATTTACTTTACAATTGCACATCAAGGCAAAAAGCCTTTTCATCAGTGAAAAATGAATAAAAATTGATGCTGAACTTACACCACTTTCCACTGATCCAATCTTTTTTGATGACATGACTCTTAAATCAGCATTAACCAGGAGTTGGTAGCGTGAAAAAAAATTGCACAACCGTCCAGAATGTTTTTTTTACCCTATAAAATATATACACAATTTATAAGTATATGCTTAATGGCTTTACACAATGTGTCAGTAATTTGTTGGTTACATCATAGACCTTAAGAAAGAGAGGGACGAACGGGCAACTCTAACTGGATTATAAAACAAAGGATTTCACAACATTCGGCGTGCAACGCGAGTTACTACAGATATGAACAAATGCCCAAGCTAAGGGTGCCTTATGACTCCCCACTCACAATCTTTTGGTCGTGCAGTTTTGCAACGTGTCTTTCAGTGCTTGTGCTTATTACATTAAATTTTTACTAGATTTCAATACAAGATCCATTTTTTTGTACTGGTTATTATGTGACTATTAATATACGTTACAATTTGTTTTTTCATCAGCATAAATGGTTGACTACGGTAATACGGATCTTGCGACTGCCACATTTTTGCCTGTTTTCGGAATATAAAAACACTTGATTGCATTATCGTATTTTTCACTTAAATCACTATTTTCAAGATACTCGCGTATTTTAGTTTTGCTAGTCTATCTTTTAAAGTCATAATTCTGAAATTTACAAACTGTCTGAACGGCAGTCTGGATAGCCAGGACTTGCTTGATTTTCGCCTGATCTGTTGTTCAAATTATTTCATTTATTACTTGACTCGTGCCATTTTCCAAGTAATTAGGGTAATTTTAAGTTGATGACTTGCTTTACAAAAGTCGAAATTTTGAATTTTTAAACAGTTTGTAAACAAGTGACAATCATCTGACAACGAAAATGGTCGACCCAAAGTTTTTTAGATCAGGGTTCTCCCCAGGGATTTTTAGCGGTGCTCAGCGTTACATTTGTGAATCTTTACCTGGGACCTTGGCACAATGTGTTCCGACCTCGGCGCTTGATTTCATAATTGACATGCCAATATCAGATGTGCAAAAGATTTGTTCGCCACGTTGGTCACTCAAAATAGGTGACCACAACGGAAACGCTTCCGAGTAGGACTATTGTCTGATGTGTTTATTGCGTGATTTGGTAAAATACATTTGAACTGTTAATTTGTAATTAAAAGTAATTTGGAAATCTGGAATTTGTATACTTTTCAATCCTGTAAAAACTTAAGCTTTAAGATATTAGTACCATTGGATGGCGACAGAATGAATATTCATATTGTAGGACATCCGATTTAGTCAAAACAGCGTGATCATGAATTAGTTAGCCAAGTTTTGGCCCAAACAATTCTGAGATTAAAAATTTTTGTTTAGAAAATGCTGGTGTTAGTTTTTTCCCCCTCCCTTTGACATTTCTACAGTATAGACACAGCGTAATAATTGTATATGCCTCTCCAGATAATATATTTCACGAGAAGGGGCATATACAATTAAAATGGGTGAGACGCACTGCCATGTTAGGATTAGAGTTATGGGCGAGGAGGCTATAATGAACTTTTGCCAGAACTGACATTTATCGTTTCTGTAGGCTTATTTCATTCACCAGTGATCGCGAACGATGGACCTTATACATGCACTCTACAGAACTAGAGCCCAGGGTCCTCTGCCTTCAGCTTGCAAAGTTTTCTTATACCATTTCGACGAGCTTCACCATCGCCATGGAATTATGTAACTCTCTTTTTAGCTGTATGATGGAATCAGGGACTACGGGCTACCCAGACATCAGTATCATACTCGAGAGAAGTTGTGCCGTTGCCTAGTTTATAAATTCGACCACAACACGAAAAGTATAACACTTATACGTGCAGTTCTGAAATTTTAGTTTAACTCTGTGTTATAGAATACTATTTGAAGTACTAATATTGTGGCAAGAAAAATGCTCCAACGATTCACGCCAGATATGGCAGCCATTGTTGTAGACCGTAAAATTGCCACTCACTTTTTCCAATAAAGGGTCATATAATAAGCAAAAACAAAAGACATAGAACACATTGAAAATACCTGCGATATTCTAGCTTTCTCGGTGAATGTCTTTGAATATAGAATGCATAAATAATCAATAATAATTTCAGTTCAGCTGACTCCAACACACTCGTTCCAGCAACAATCTACCAGAGATTTTAAATTTGAACATCGAACGCTTTGTTCTGATTGGTTGTTCTTCAAAATGTATGAATATCCAGTTTACGTTCTTATTGGTCGAAATGTATAGCCTCGTTCACAACGAAACTTTACTGCATAGAATACATTTTAATTCAGTGGGACGTCTTGTAGATATCTATTATAGAAGTTTTCTTTTATTTTCTAATCTATGTGTTTTTTTCAATCGAGCTGTACAATTGTGCGTTTTTTTTTTATCTAACTTAAACTTAGAAAATATAGTTATTGATCGAGGTAAAGTCTAATGTCTGTATGCGGAAGTAAACAAAGGTTTTGCTGAATCAGTCGAATATTTAGGTGAGCTCAGCACTTGATTCTACGTTATTCAGACGTTTGCGTAAACTTGTACAACTGTTCTGTAAAATTAGTTGCATGTCATAGAGTAAACATGGACGTGCCAGGGATTAAAGGATCGTCGGCGCCCGAAAGTTTCCTAATCGCAAAAGTTATGTCATCACTGAACAACATGAGTTTCGACAGACCGAAAACTATGGAAAAGTTGGCGAACGCGCTTAAATCATACGGTCACACGATAGGATACGCCAATCCACTTCGAATTATCGATACAGTAAATACCATTGAGGGCAAGAAAGACTCGGTGTTGGTACCTGAAACACGGAGACACTACGTCGACCGTCACGATCCTGGCACAAAAAAGCACATCGACCAGTTTTGCGTTCGTAAAGCTCAGCGTTCCAATCGTTTACTGGTACTTCCTCAGGATTTGCTCGGCTGGCCGGAATTACAAAACAGCGACGATGTCCTCGATAAAGTTGAGGAATACTTGAAACATATTTCAGTGGGACCTAGGCCAGTTCTATTGAACAAGTTACTCGAAGTGTGCACTACAAAACGTGATATTCCTCCGAATATTATGGTGGAGCGCCTTGAGAAACATGGTTTTATTGACGTTGAACTTGCAGGCGACGGTATACTAGCTTACAATTTGCCGTCCAAGGAATGCACGGACTTCCTTTTGAAGGTTTTCCCGCAACCGAGCGACGCATCGGCGTCAACACCCAGTTTTAGTCAGATACTGTTAACGAAGATATCCCAAAATTTTGCAATGCGGGAAGAAAATGCGAAATCAGCCCGTGGTCGCTACGATAGATGGGTGTCAGATTCTTCAAGCTCAGAGAGTCTATCACCACGTCAGCCACCCGCATGGTTTTCACACGACGACGGGAACGATGACGGCGAACACATCAGCGTAGAGAATGTCACCCCTACTTTCTATGAGTTGTCATTGCCAGAAATATTTGCGGTCACAATCTTGAGCAAGTTAGAAGATATTAGCAGACCCAAGACGCGCAAAGCTCTCTGTAACGTCCTGAAGCCAGCATGTCAGCTTGTGTGCATAAACAGGCCCGACTTGTTAGTACGCAGCAAAAACACCGGAAAATTGGCCTTCAACTATTTGGAAATGCGCCATTTTAATAAAATGTTTCAGCCCGTTTTGATTGGTATTGAAAAACGGCATCGATCACTCAAATTATCACCAGAGGGGTTGGTTGCTTCCGTCAGTAACCATGGCAACAAAGGGGGTCAACAGCGCATCTCAGTTAAGTATGAAACAACTGATTTATCGGTGGAAGAAAGATGCGGTGAGAACTTTGGGGTACAATTTTGGAAGAAGGTGCTCATGAAAAGCCGAAAGGCCGGAGCTTCTCCATTTCCTGTCACTTGGGAAGAAAGTATGGAGATCGTCATGAAGACGAGAATGTTTTTGAAACAGATTATACAAGATGATACATCACACTTTTCAGGGGAAATAACATTACCGATTTCTATACAAGCAGTGATCGGTTGTCCTCGCTATCATTCGGTCAAATCCGGGAAAGCTAAACTATCCCAAAATGAGATAGTGGATAAATTGATGAATCTATGCACCAGAAAGCGGAGCTGTTCGTTCAATGCTATTCAGATAATATATCTCCTTGCATCCCGTGGTTACATCTCCGTTGCTTGCGACCCGCCTCATCGAGTAACCTACCATTGCTTCGACACACATACAGACTCAATCGACAACTTACAATCACCGTGGCAGCGCGAAGCGGAAAAGGCCGAACACGAGGTTCTTTCCGAGTTCGAACAATACACAACGCACCGCAAAGAGGAGCTTGGCCCAACAAACGAGAGAAAGAGGAAAAGACATACGGCTGACAGACGAGTGAGCCATCGAGCTACCCGAGGCCGTAGCCGAATTTTCAGGCCAGCGAAGAGGATGAAGTACTAATCACTAATCCACGATGTCATTTACCCGATATTAATTACGTCATGCAATTTATTGTGTGTCAATATAATACCGGTAGACAAAGTGTGTAAGTATTGGAAACTTGTCTATTCAAATTCTGCGAATAATTTTGACATTGTTTCTAGTGTAATTATTTTGATGATTATATTTAACATATACCTAGTACACAGTATTTGTTATTTTTTCACGACTGCTTATTTTACAAGTATGAAATGAAAAAAAAATCAAATTCATTTAGATGCAGTTAAATGTGTTATTTGTCCAGGTATAGATTTCGTGTCATATGTACATTTGATTTCACATTTTCATTGTAATCAGTATGTTGTTTTTTCAATTAAAAACAAAGCATGTATGAATAATATTTACGTTATTGGTGCAGTGTCTTTGTATGAGTAGTATCACAGGGAGCCAAGGAACTATGATCAGCTGTACGCACTCCTTTTGAGCGGGGGGGGGGGTATCGGCTGGCATCTAGTGTAAGAAATATACAAGGGATGAAGGCTCCAGCCAGCTCACATTTTTTAAACTCGAAAAAACAGACGAAAAGAATGAAAAATAAAATCTAAAAAAAAATACCAGGTTGAAGAATATTAGTTGCTCCTTCAAATTTCGCCAAAGCCTTACCTACATTTTACCGATATCTGCAGAATAAATCAAGAATACTACACAAATTGACTCCATTTAGGAATTCCTAACAGTTTGCCCGAACGCACGACACCGTTGGAGGCGTGGCCTGTTCAGCATTTTGTCAACAACCAATCACAAGATTGGTTACGAACCACATCGAGGTCACGACTCGGTTAGCCTTGCTCAACTGGTTCGTATACAATTAATAAAACGAGGCCTTGGTATCAAATTTAATACAATGGTATGAAATTCAAACCAGGAATGACCCGAACTAGTTCTAAGTATAGTCTAAAACATATAAACATGGCCCGGCATACGTGAGAACTTCCTTACCACTGAAACCATCTGTTGTTCATGTGCACATTTTCGAGCGTCAATGTGAAACATTTCGGTACATTTCATTACTCAGAAAGAACAATGTTTATTTTTGCGACAACTTCAGTGACCGTGTACGATTTAGGACAATGGACAATATAGGACCCCGGATTTTATATTTATTTATTTTATTTTCAGTTGCATGATAATAATAGAACATGAACAAGCACAGATTATATACAACCTTTTAATAAACAGACGTTATAACATGTATCAGAGAAATTGACACCTGGAAATGACGATCGCACTGACTCTCCAGCAACGAAACGCGACAGACGCGATGACTGAAAGCAAGGCAACGCGACGGCTCTTTGGTTGTTTTATATAGGTAGTCGCCGACAATTCACCATGGACGAAATTGCACAGACAAAGTGGTCTCACCATTAACCTGATCGATTTGCGCGATCATGATTATGATTATTTTGACGCCATTACTGAAATCGAGGGTCTAAATAAACATAACGCATATAATCATAATCATGACTATTTTATTCGTCATAATTTTATTCAAGTTTACAAAATAACAAAAAAGGGATTGAGAAATCACATGAAGAACTGTAGAAACTACTTTATCACACTGTTTGTTGCCATGCAACTACCTAAAACCGACAAACGTTTGAAGATATTTGCACTTCGTTCATTGTACAAGACCGCCTGTCCGCCATCTTCAATCATCATGGTTATCACAAATATAATTGGACGACACAAACGCGCCCATGGCTTTTGATTGTTTTCCCAACTAAGATGGTAAACCTTACACGGGACATTGAATTTTAACAATACGGTCTATAATTGTATACTAGTATTTAAAAAAATTATATTAATTTGTACACATATCATCGATGGATATACCCCGTTTTCACAAATTGCGATCTAGCGAAGAATCGATTATAGGACGGCACAATGAGGTAATATGGTGGAAGTGGTGTCGTTCAAATGGCAATAAAGTTTGTTCGCACAGTCGCATTTTCATTATAAGGACGACTACGAATCAAAACGATATGTTGTGCCACCCATTTACGTCACAGAAGCGCATCGTCACTGGGGGGTGCGATTGATAGAGACGGTTTATATTGGCTGTTCACACACAACTAACAATTGAAACCGTTTAATGCAAATACTCCAATGTTCATTTCACAAATATAACAGAAATGTACATTTCACCAAATAACGTACATGTATTCATCTGATTACCGTATTGTGTTTTAGTTAAAATTGCATGAAAACATCTGTATTTGGTTACTTTTTATTATTGAATGGACGGTGACACTGGACTGAATTGTATGATTTAAGCTCTCGTGTAAATGAAATTTTGGTAAGTCGAAATAACACAGATGGGCGGATTGATGATTACATAAAAACAACATGAATTCGGTGTAATAATAAAATGCCGAAAAAATATTATAATGGTAAGCTGCCAATGCACTAATACATGACACGTGAATTCTTTGACATCTGGCCCTGCAATAAAAATTTTGAATATATGTTCACTTTTGCCTGGACAACACTTTGACGAAGAAGATATTTTCGTATTAAACATTTTGGTTGGACTATTGCTCGAGGACGGTCTCAATTTCGACGCATCACTACGCATGCCTCCGGCGAGGAGTACACACCCATGTCGAGTTTGTAGATATTTGGAGAGTGGCGCTGCATCTCTACCAGGAAGTTGTTAATGAAGTTGAGCTGCATCGACTGTTCAAAGTGTATCTTCACCATCATGCGTTCAGCCCAGGGTGGAATCAGCGTTCCTATGGTAACGTATCGCTCGTTTTGCACCTGCGTAGACGGGATGTCGGCGGACCATTGTTTCATACAGCTTTCAATCTATTGACACAGACACCAATTGTTAGTTATTATAAAAATGAATAAACAGTACGTATACATAAATGCATACCCTCATCTAATGAATACTAAACAGCGCAAGACTAAATAAAAAAAATCACAAAGCGCCACAGTCGCATCATCCAATGCGCAGTTGTCGCGCAGCGCGCATTTACATTTACGTATTTTACGAGCGCGATGTATACGCCGCAAGGTAACCACATTGAACACTACGCGGCCGGCGTCTGTGGCAAATTAAAGCGCAACATTAAAGCGCATTTGTCTCACGCGACGTCCGGCGCAATGTTCGCGGCAATGTTTGTTTATACGACGCTTTATACAATTTGTAGCCGTCATTATAACATTTACCTCACAACATGTGCAACAGGGTTTAAAACATATACACAGGCTTCCACACGTTCTTGAGCACTCTGGTTTATTACCCCGGACAGTAGTTTTTGTTTTCACGCCAACGGAAGCATTCAAATCGACGCTACGGAATCCTTCCATTGGTAGACTTTGTAGATACATAGAGTCCATCATCGAGGTCGTCAAATGATACGTATTGCAAGTTTTTCCGATTCTCTCCTCGGTGATATCCGAAGCTGCAAAAATATAATGTGACAAGGAGAAAAAAAAACTAAATTAAAATGATATTTTTTGAAATTTGAACATTGAGCATCGTCGTTGTTTTACTTGATACGACAGCTAGCCATGCAGTTGTTGATTTGTTATTCAGTATGCAATGAGTGTTATGCACTATAATCGGCCAGGTGATTGGAAGCGCAGGTAGCCAATCAGCGAACGCATAGCAGCTAGTGATTTTTTGTAAGCCATGGTACTCTAAAATACTTTATTTTCGTTTGGAATTAATTTTCGCTATTTTTGCTGGAGGAATGATTCAGTGAAAATAAAATCGAGCAAATATACTTTTTTTTCGGACTACCCTCTTACAACACCCCTCTTCCGTGTTGTTTTTTGAACAAATCTTTATACAATGTATAATGATTGAGAAATGATTACAAAATAAAACAAGCTCAAGACAATAAACACTTAAAACAGACGTTAGCTGTGAATTTATTTTGTTTTAATGCTGAAAATTATACATATGTTTCATTTCATTGGGCGTTAACTGGTAAGCAGCACAAACTAAACAAAGTATTCAGTGTATTGGGATTAAATGGAATTGCCAGTAAAGGCGGAGCGATAAGACGAGATGATCCCAGATGGATAGAAGAAATGCCTAAAATATATGACAACATACGAACATTTCCGGCATTCTATGTTTAGCAATGTTACTGAAATAAACATTAAGCTGAATGTAGTGTGAGTTTACTAAAAATTTATATTTATATTTATTTATATCGATACATCTATTGGTAAAAAAAGGGTGATATAGATGGCTGACAGTGCTGATAATGTGAATCCTTAATTTCACAGGAACAAATAATATTACTAAAATCATTTATTAATTAAAATATTTATTGATTAGTGACATAGACTGATTAACAATTTTATAAACGTGGTAGTGAACCGACGAAATCCGGAAAGATACAATTGTGACAACCCTATTGGTGGCTGGTAAGGACAGTGTACTCATTTCAGTGACTAGACTAGTATAGAAATGAGACAGGCATGCTGCAAGGATTACTACTATTCTATCTCAAACAATAGGTTTTATCAGAGGTACATTACTTGGGGTTTGCAACTACGGTGACATGATACCAAGATCCCGTTCCAATCTCGCTCTCGCATAAGCGTTCCAACTTAGAAAAATTCGAATGCGCATGCCCGAGGTAACTAGGATACTGGGATGTCCAGGTGGATCAAAATAGCTGCTCACGATATAATAATAATGTAATAATAATGTTTATTCAACCTTTGTATCGGCAGCATGAAAACAGTAATACATATATTTAAATTACATTCATCATTTCTTTTCTATATTGCCATAAATCAGTTACATATTTCCTAATTAAAGCTGATGAGGTATTTCCCACATTTTCATTTATGTTTCATAGTGTATCACCAAAAAGGAAATTGAACCTATAATTCAACCCCCCTGAAAGAAAACTATTCATTAGTGATGAAGATTCAACATTGTTTCTCAGTGAGGTTTCTAATGCTAAATAAAATTCCTTTCTAATATGATTAGATGACGTACAAAGATAAAGAAAGTGGTAAATGTCTTCTTTGCCCTGATTGCAGACTCCACAAATTCCATGACGGATTACGATAACTATATTTTCTGTACATTTTTTATATATTACATTTTTTCACTATGAATGTGGTAATACATGTGGTATATTGTTTTATTACAAACCGCCTTTGTCATGTCAGAAGGTCGTAGCATCAGTCTCGCTATCTACGAGATGAGACTTGAATGGGATCTTGACATGATGTCACCATACAGGTCTCATGCCACTAATTAACCAATGGCTGCTCGTGGCTGCTCAATTTAAATGCCCAGCAAGAACCAATGAAATTTTTTAAATATTATTTTTCTCAGGTGCTCCCTGTTTGAGGGCGTAATCACCTGGGTCAGAGGTGAGACCAACATGTGGTCTTTTGTTTACTACTTAGCGCTGTGTTCCTGTGGGTTTATTCTGTGTGTTAATGGATGTTCTAATCTTGGTGTTTTTCTAGTGATTTCTCTTGGTGCAATCCAAATACAGTAGGTGTGTCTTGTTTACCTGAGATTTGCAAGAGTTTGAGCTGGCCAACATGTTAGTTTTTTCATATGGTTGATTACTGGCATGTTGATTTCCCATTTTTGAGCCATATTTTCAACTTTCTTCGTCATTTTCATATAGCAATCTCGTCATATGTTAACATTGTCGTCTATGGAAATTCAATTAGTGGTATGAGCCCTGTTACAGTACTATGCGCGTTGCAAACCCCAAGTAATGTACCTCTGGTTTTATACATTATTGTATAATATTCGCCAACCTGGTAATGTTTGAAGTGGAATATAACAACTAAAACAAATATTATCTCTATACTAGTGATTATTTCTACGCGAACCGAATATGACACTATTAAATAAACTATCTGAATTGTGTATATAAATTTGCAGTTATGCATCTTTTTTAACACGAGCGTCAAAACTCATCCTCGGACTGACGACACGGAAACAAAGATGACACGACAGAATTTAGTCAGTAACGGCCTATCATTTACCTATCACACTCAAGTCAAAAATATAAAAATAGGAATAATCTTCGGTGCCTTGCACCGCATAAATTGAGACGTACCTGAAGCTTCTTCCGCCGAGAGTAATAACAGTCGCCTAGATGTCAGGAATGCCCTCCCACGAGTCATCGCAGGTTTCCCACTTTGAAACTTACCAGTCGGGTCGAGAAATGTAACGCTGGTATAATATATATATTGACCACCCATCAATAACTCCTCTCCATCAAATATTAGAGCTTTAAATGAAAATAAAGACGTGAACACGTTAATATTTAGTGTTGTTTGTTGTTTTAAACAAGCGACCGAAATAGCTCGGCTGTCCTACAAGAACATTGTGGTAGCCAATGCTAGCGATGCACAACCTTAAGACAAAACGCAGTTAATCCACACAAAAAAGACTAGTTTGGTTCTGGTAGTTAAGAACATGTCAACTTAACTACATCAAACAAATTGTGTTATAACTATATAAATAACATTTGCCAAAAATAGAGAATTGAAGATATTGCCACGAAATGAACAAATCTGACAGAGGTTCACACACGGTACCCCCATACCAAGTATCTAAACAATTGGGCTGTCAGTTTTCAAAAAGTAGTTGAAAATATCATTTTTTACCAAAAATAACAAAAATATTTGTCAAAGATAGAGAATTGAAGTTATCATCATGAAATGAACATATCTGACAGAAATCCATCTAAGGTACCTACATACCAAGTATCGAAGCAATTGATCTTGTAGTTTATATAGTTTATGTAGTTTAGATATAAAAAATAGCATTTTTGCCAAAAATGTCAAAAAATATTTGCAAAAAATAGAGAATTGAATATATCGTCACGAAATGAACGAATCTGACAGAGGTTCCTACATACCAAGTATCAAAACAATTGAGCTAGACGTTTTCAAGAAGTCGTTCATGCGATTGTTGGTGGGCGACGGACGGACGGACAATCACTTATATGAATAGTTCCGCTCTATCATCTACGATGATAGCGAAGCTAAAAATAGGTAGTCGTCATGATCGAAATGAACCCCATACGATGTATACAACGATTGGATATACATTGCTTGTTTACCCTAAATTCTAACTCTTACTGTGCAACGACTTTTTAACTACTCGTACAAACGTCACCTGGAAAAATTATAGTCACGCATATTACATCAGGTAATTTGTTATATATAACTTAACTTTGGACTTTGAAATGAGAGATTCGTGTCAAACCTTTAACGAAAAGCCGACAGCGTAGCACCGATTTGTGATTCTGTAAACCAGCCATCACGTAATTCTATAATGGCTGACTTTGCAAGTCCTATGTGAATAGACCAACTGCATTGTATGCTTTGGTATTTGTAATAATCGATAAACAAGCAGACATGCACAGACAAGACGGTGCCTTTTTTTAGTATGATGCATTCTTTCACAGATTACAATGTCGTATAGTGTACGGAGAAAAAAGGGACTACCCCACTTCTAGGAAGTTGTCGGTTAACCGGTCCTCCCCCGGGGGAATCATGTTGATAAAAGTAGGACTTAGGAGTGTTCTGCAAAAAATAAAAACAGCCTATTCCCACTGATTTTTAGATAATAAATTTAAAAATAACACTGACTTTTTTTTCGAATTAAACTTCAGTCAAGGTATTTTTAGATACGTTGTTTTCTGTTCGAACGCCTCTGTGCATTTGATGTAAACGAAAGTCAAGTGACCACGAAATCTCAACATGACTTTCACGTTCACCTCTCGTTTACGCAATTTATATTTATTTTTCAAGAATTTTTCATTGGAATCGCAACAGACTGCAAGCAAGTCTAGTTCAGGTGTTCCAAAACAACTGCCCAAACACTTTTTTTTATATTTTCGCGGACATGATAATTAAAAAAATATAATCCTTTTTCCACGAAATTCAGAACGCACACGCATATTATTTGACCAGCCAAGTGCCCGGACCGGTTCTACACTAAATCATATTAAAATTATCTTTTCATATGTCTCTTCTTCCGAATATAAGCGTAACTTACTCTGCAAGAGCTGGTCGTACGAGAGATTGTTGTGCTGTGAGCTGTACTGTTGATAGGCAGCTTGATACGAAGACTTTGCATTGGTATTAAGTACATCTTCCAACTGTTTGCGACTTTTGTGCGTACTTGCCAATTCCTGGATGGTGTTTGCAGTAAAAGGATTATACATCGCTGGGCTGAAATTCTGGGCCGTGTAACCAGGTCCCTGCATCGGTGCTGTAGGCTGGACGGGAGCATGTGTCTGTGCAGTGCCCGGTTGCGGTAGCGGATTCTGTGATTGAGGTTGAGCGGTAACCACCGGCGGTGCATCTGCGGTCGGCTCTCGGGGTTGTACCATTTTCACGGGGCCTGAATGGTTTGATTCGTACGGTGGCAAGTGAGATGTTGTGGCGACATCTTTGTCGTGCGGGTCCTCCTCGTAATCGTCTAATTCAAGCAAATCATCGTCCACCTTAAACACAAATGACAAATCGACACTGAACCGTAGCCCCGTTAACTATAACATCTCTCCCAATGGTTTCCAAATATGTTAATAAAAACACAGAATAACGCTAACATCATGTTTGAACATTCAAACTAGGCATGTGAATGAATGCAATTGTTTGTAACATATATTAATAATTTTGGAAGTGTGTTGTGTTTCAGCAACCCTACTGATATCATTGTGGTCATAGTTATAGCTCACCAAATTTAATTTACACCAAGCGACGCTAATTATCAGGTAAGAAAATAAAAGTTGTAATACCTTACCTTGCTAAGGTCTGTTTTCTCTGGATGGACGGCCGTCATACTTGACCTTATGCGTACGTTTTAATCTTAGGTTACAGTATCTCTTTTACCCACCAACTGCTCCGAAGTAACAGACAATTGCCTATGCACCACCTTTATAGTCTGAATCTGCATCACATAGGCTGTCACGATAAACGTTGTCACCCCGACAAGCTAGACGCACTAGTACACCACATGAATGACTTGCTATTCATACATATCATACAGTTTATACATGTGTTTAATGTCAGAAGTGCCACACCCAGCGAAGGTGTGTTTTTTCCGTTTCATCTCAATTTTACGATTTAAAACCCAACCACGGTTGTAAATCCCGTAAAGCACGCCATGGCGGGCGTATCGGGATTCAAGGGGAGTATCAGCACTAGTTGGAAGGAATACAATTGAGAGTCGTCTGGACGAGTAGTGCTTTCAGAGCGATAACCCTGAATTCACAAAATGAATAGTTCTTTTGACTTTTGCTGTATTATAGTGTCGTCAAGGAGAGGCCCATTTGTTGTCGTACACAGGCATTTAGCAAACAAGCTAACACACATCCATTTTATGAGGCCAGCTCCCGTATTATTCCCCAAATTCCTGGAATTCATGAATAGTAACTGTTTCCTGGAAAACAACGTCTAAATGTGTTAATCACCTGACAACTAAAGGGAAGGCATGACTCGGGGTTCGGTCGAATGCAATTGAACGGCATATAATCCAGAGCATTTGATTTTTGTCTAGACCACAAACAGACGAACATTTCGTTAACCCAGCAGCTCACTTTCCAAAACTCTTATATTAAATGGGGATGGGGGGGGGGCAGGGGGGCAAGGGGCATGTACAGGTTACAGGAAATAAAAAAAAGGCCTTTTTATAATATATTTGATAATTTGTTTTTAAGAATCAAAATTGAAAATTGCGTACGAATTACGACATTTAATTTGGAAAATATACGCTTACAACAATAAGATCTTTGTACAAATTACGGACAAATAAAATATAGCTTATTACATTTAACACCTTGCCCATGTCTACGAATTTACGTTTTTTTATTTATTTAAATTACATTATTACGAAAATAAAAACATTTGTTTACAGCTCACGAAAATACCTCTTGCTGACTCATTGAAATGCCACAGAAGGAAAACTAATGAACTCATGTCATTGTTATGCATTTAGACAAATAAACGATCAGTTATAAAAATTCTTCGTCCTATTCAGCTCCTCGGCGAGTATAGCTGAATACCCATATAACTAATGATATAGCCTCTAACATCTACATAGTGCGTTTTGACCAATCAGAATGCTTAATTGCAGAATGGCGTATTGAAAAACTTTATATACACTTCTCCCATTTGCTTGTGTCGTTAGTATGGTCGCAACTAGAATCATGTGATTCCCTTCTGTTCTTATAAAGCGTCCTTAATGCCATACGAGCCAAATGAATTCATCTTGTACGCCATTTTAGTTCATCCTCGTTCGCAGCTAGTCGTGTTATACTCACTGAAATATCCCATTGACGCTCTTTTGGAGAATTAAGAATTTTCTCATTGTCTGTCGACACTCCATAAATTTCTGGTGACCCAACCCGGTTCCCCAAATTGACCAACATGTCCTTATATCTGAATAAAAAACACGATGTTTAGTGATATGTGTTGCCTTTCAACCTTTTATTTGGTGATTTTTTTATTCTTTAAAGGGTATTTCAAGTATTCAATCATTTCATGTAAACAGCTGTCAAGTCAGTGGGACAACCAACATAAATACAAAGCATGTTACTTCTAAGTCTCAATAATTACCAAATATAGAAAACATAGTCCAGTTATTTCAGATATAGAATATGAAATTTAAAAATTATATGATGATTCAACCGGACAAAGAGAAAAGCGAATATTTCATAGATTTTAAAAGTAGATTATTCTCTTGAATGGTGGTAGAAGAACAACCTTTCCTTCGCTTCACATTGTTGTGTGATTGATATTCGTACATGATGATGTCGTTCCCCGATGGTCAGATGTACAGAGTTTGTTATATATCACTGGTCCCTGTAAGAGTTTGCTTGTAATGCACACACTCATTCACCCCGAATGTCTAATAGTCACGACAACCGTAATCATTGTTGATTACTCCTGTTGATGGTCGAGAATTTACGACCTTTAACCACAGTAACCAAGTTCCATAGTGTAACATGTAATTGTTACTCGTTAATTGTCAGTTTCTCAGCATTATTATTAATAATTGTTTTTTTTTCAGATTGCAATTACAGTGGCTTCTGTATCGAACACTAAACTGAAAATTGTCTTCCTTACGTAATTTGTGCCTGTAATTTCGATTCTACTGTGTTCTCTCATACATTAATGACAAGATACAACAATTAAAGTTGAACTCTCTCTTTCGAAATGTTATATGTATCTCAAACGTTGTTTTTTACCTAACTTTTGGTTAAACATGTGAATCCTCCTAGAAACTGATTCAACAGATTATTAGGGTCATGATTATGTGGAGATGTTCATCCTGATAACCTGAGCGTTCCGCACTGTGGAAATATCGTATATAACATGTAATAAATATCCGATTTAATAACACTGTGTTGTGTCAGGGATTATGCCAATACAAAGGCCATTGCACCACAAAATTGTATCTAGCTCAGTGCTTGAATCAGATGTCAGCTGTTGCACTAGAAAAAAATCATTGTACATGGCCACTTAAACGCGGTGGTCGGTGAATGGATTAAGATGACTTTGTCGGGAATACGATTAGATGTGAGTGTAGACACGAGTCAATCGTGGATAGGGTGTGCCGAAATTTCCGAATTACATGTATAGACGGTATCTTTACCAAGGTTACAGTACAAAGACGATAAGTTAATAAGGAATTGAGCCCCAAATTGTTTAAAACAGTAAACAAATTGAAAAATCGTAAACACTGGCCACAATCCCTTTATCCTCTATAGAGGGACTGTGCACTGGCGGATCCAGAAATTCGGCAAGGGGGGCGCACTCCTATTGACCCGAAGGCTACGTCCGCGCACCTCCGATGGGCTGGGTTTGTCATTTTTTGCGGACTGAAAGAAGAGGCGCACGCCTGGCATGTCTCCTCCTAAATCCGCGCGTGGTGAATATATTACGCAATATTGAAGCGAGAAAGATAGGCACAGCAAGACTTTGAATGGTACTAACCTTGAGACATTACTTTGAATGCAGAATCACGACACCAAGCCGGAAAATACATCATTGTAAAATGTTTATTCAGACTATACGAAGATATTTGAAATAGAAAAACAAAACAAAGTATGTAATCAAAGCTCTTGATTATACTAAAATGTATAAAATATTTACATAACCGTGTGAAAATAGTGAAAAGTCCAAACCAAAATAACCCAATATCATAATTTATCATAATTTTTAATGTTCTACTACTATTATACATTTCCACAAAACATACATTTACTAATAAAATTCAACTACGTGTGTTGTTACCGCATTATATAACGGATACAAAATACAAAATGACCGCCGAGGGCGTGAGAGCCACATGACTTGTTTTCCTCTGCTGTCATCGCGTCGACTGTTTTCTTAAAGCGGAGGAGTCGTCACCTGCGCATGCGTCAGATGGGACTCAATTCCCGCGCGTGAGCACGTGGCGACCCTCCCGTTTTAACCTCTGTTACCATGATATTTGGAAGAATGTACGCAATGACTTTATATGTATCGATCGAATATTTGCATATGTGCCCTTTTAGCCGATATAGCTTTACCAAATATGACTTGTCTGTCAAGCACATTATGCAAGGCAGCATTCTTAATTACGACTCCATATAGATCACGTACGACTTGTCAAGATTAGATCCTTGTTACTTGACATGTATTACAATACATATACGAGACCAATCGTGATGGGTGTCTAGCCAGCAAGGTACGCTTTCTCATTACGAACACCCGGGGCCACTTCTGGGACGTCGGTGGTTCATGATGGTCAGTTTTCTATTTTGTGAACAGAGATCTGTGCCTCGTGGAGCTAGCAATTTTGCGTTGCATTGCAATGCATCTCATATTCCTTCTGTTGTGACACTTCCCTCTCCGTCACATCCAACCTGTAGCGTTTGCAAACAGTTAATTTATTTCAATATAGACTTTCATAACTTATGATAAATAAACGAATAAATAAAATAAACAAATAAATAACAATCCTAGCTGGGAGTGGATCGCCAACAATTGTATCGTATTTTAATAAGTGGTTTGTCCACAGATCTTGGGCAATTTTACGAGTTCATTGTTTTAAATGCTGCTTGCATGAATTAATGACTGTGATTTAATTACGGTGTCACTCACTGGGTTTATTCTGTATAGTGGGTAAATAAATACAGACCATGCTGCGTCCATCACTGACTCACAAGAGAATACACATGCGCATTGTTATAGCTACTTAATATTCATGAGGGCGGGTCATAGTTCAACATAACATCTTGTTACATTCACAACAACTTATTAAATATGTTCCAAACTGGTCCAATTAATTTATTTTTGTCTTTACTATTTTGCATCCTGTTCCATGAGTTATGAAAAGAATAAAGGGTGCTCGGCAATTCTAATTTAGTGTAATTATTTAGTTGTCGTTTTCACAAAAATCAAATTTCTTAAACTCAAAAATATATATGCTTAAGTTTTGTTCAGGTAAGATCACTAGTGAAATGAAAAGTAATACACATTCTGTTTGAATGAATATTTCAATATATTCAAAGTTAAAAGAGTTACATACGCCAGTATGTGTATTTGAGTTTTATGGATTTAACTGTGCGCACAACATTTTTAAAACCTCAGTCAGCTAATTGCTGTGTTTGCAACATCGCCAGCCATTTTGCTCAATGGTCTAGTGCGCGTGGTTTGTTGACACGGACGGTGCATGTTATGTTTGTGTTTTGCAATTATATGCAACCTTCAACATTCAGTAAAGTGGCTTGTGAACCAGCAAGTCATTTAGGTGACAGAATGTCTTGGCGAAAGGTATTCACTGAATGCTAATTGGCCAAGAACGTATTAATTACAATTTTTTCATATCTCTCTACTAAGAATTTATATATAATAAAAAA